AGATTCTCTATGGGGTTCAGGTCAGGCGAGTTTGCTGGCCAATCAAGCACAGTAATCCCACGGTCATTGAACCAGGTTTTGGTGCTTTTGGCAGTGTGGGCAGGTGCCAAGTCCTGCTGGAAAATGAAGTCAGCATCCCCATAGAGCTCGTCTGCGGAAGGAAGCATGAAGTGCTCCAAAATCTCCTGGTAGACAGCTGCGTTGACCCTGGACTTAATGAAGCACAGTGGACCAACACCAGCAGATGACATGGCTCCCCAAATCAACACAGACTGTGGAAACTTCACACTGGACTTCAAGCATCTTGCAGTGTGTGCCTCTCCATTCTTCCTCCATACTCTGTGTCCTTGGTTTCCAAATAAGTCTATCTCATATATTAGTTTCACCTTTTAAGTTGCATTAGTGAAATAAATGAACTTTTGCACGATATTCTAATTATTCGAGTTTCAACTGTATGTGTGGAGGATTGGAGAGAAATATATTTTGACTGTTATTTCGGACACTGATGGGAATATCACATAGGGTGTAACACCTTTGATCAACGTGAAGGAGGAGTAAGCACTTTTTACGAGAAGATTATACTTGAGCACGGTATATAGTTTTTGTTATACAAATGTCACATATTATATTGTATACAATTGATACATATTTTTTGTCTTGTTATTGGGAAGGGGAAGCGCAGTGTACTTGTGATTTATTTTGATAGCACCTTGGTGAACACCGTGGACAGACCAAAGGGAAAAGCAGCACACTAAAGCTGCTGGGTGCTGTAGCAAAACGCAGGTAGCGATAGCGGGCAGGAAAAATGCGGAAGTGTAAATACGCATCCTTGAGGTCCACCAATGCCAGGAAATTTCTTGATTGAAGGACAGTAATGACGGAGCGGATGGATTCCATCTGGAAATTGTGGACTGGCAGGAATCCGTTGAGCTACAGGCTTTAGGGTGAAACCATCACTTGGCCTCGGGGGCAGTAAACAGGTTGGATCAAAACTAGAACATTTCTGCCCTTGGAATGGGGACTATGATCCCCTTTGTGTAGCGTTTCCCTCTTTTTGGTCCTTTTAATGAATAACTCCGGGGAGAGTGCTAATGAGCAGAGTCTTATTTACGGGGAGAAGAATCGTTTATATGAAGGCTGGAAAGCACAGATTGCCAGTATGTCCATAAATGACCAGATGCATTTATTCCATATATACTGTATGCTAGATACCCAGACAAGGACCTTCAGTATTATTCCTTAGAGTAGCAGCACCTCAGGGTCCGTCCTCAGCAAGCACGGAACCTCAAGCAGCTGCTCGTTTAAAAATTTAAAGGGCCAATATCAGCCTTTAGTATTGGGGCATTTTCACTAGTACAAGTACATGTGAAAATGCCCTGTATCGGCCCGACACCAATACTAGCATTGGTATTGGGATAACACTGACTTGTAGCATTTAGTAATGACACTCTGAACCTAGTCAATGGAAATGTACCTCATGCAGAGGGCCGAAAAGGCTGAAAGATGTCCCCCCCACTTGTAAAAGTGGGCGCGCCCCTTCATTGCAAAGAGGTTTAACTTTCCGTCTTAGTGGGCTTGGAAGGCCTTATGGAGGAACTGTGTTCCCTGTGATACCCGAGGCCTGTGAAGGAAAGGAGTTCTCCAGTGAAGGGCATGTACTGAAGATGTTTCTAGCAGGGGAGCTGCCATGGCCTTGGACCAACCATTAACGTCTGACATACCACCATAGAGGCAACTGCAGGTTGCATAGCTGGGCATAAAAAGTAAGACCTTAAAGAGAGTTTTTAACCGCTCCGTTTGCCCGTGTGTTTCTTGACAACTAGTACATCCTATACAGGAACCGTAAGGGACTTATTCAAACAAGATATGACATGGTCCACGATAGGGACTGTCCACTTTTAAAGGAAGCCATTCTCAGTAGGATTTTGCTGGGCAAACTGTTTAAGGGGATGTTGGGGGTTTGACCACTTTTCAGTGTGATCCTATAGTCACCATAGAACACCTTCTGAAGGGTAGGATAGGGAAGCACAGCATGGGACTAACCGAAATGGTGTTCTCAGAGGGAGTAGAACCTTTGTCAGAATGGTAAGCAGGCTGTGTGGCCCCCACACCTATAATCCGCCATGTGCTTCTCCTACAAAACTCATGGCCATTGGTGAGAAGGTTCCCGGTGTCTAGACATTTGCAGGCAGTAAAGGTGACCCAGGCCTGGAAAAACCACAGCAATGTGCAGCGTTGAAACTTCTCCAAATTTAGATTTTTAATGCTGAACCACCACTAATAACAGTGCCAGACTAAAATGGATGTAAGAGTCCATAAAAAAGTGTAACAATTGTTATGATTAAACAGCCTACGCGTTTTGGGGGCAGACACAGCCTTGAAAATGATGAGAATGAACTTAAAACATTTTTTTATTTATTTATTGCAGCTATGGGCAGTTGTCCCAAAATGTTTCTTTCTTCTATCTTCTCACTGACCACTACTTCATTCTCATCATTTCTAAACCCTGAGGAAGAGGGCTGCGTCTGCCCCTGAAATGCATTGGATGTTTGATCAACACAAACTATGGACTAACATCCATTTTGGTCTGGCATTCTTGTTTTCTGTCTGATTTTTTTTTTATATTGGGGGCTTTAAAGTAATATTAAACCGTTTTTTTTTTATTTGTACACATGGCAGTACCTGTGTGGGATGCAGATCCTTTTTTCTTTAAAAAAAAAAAAAATCTTTCAGTTCCTCATTCTCTAGTAGGTCCCTGCAGCGTGAAGGCACCTGTGCTCTCCCGGCAGTGCTTCCTCATTCTCTAGTAGGTTACGTGGCTGTTGTGAAGGCACCTATGCTTCCCGGCAGTGCTCGTCCATAGAAACACACACAGCCCGGCCCTGCAGCAGGCCACACGCCCCTCCTCTCCGCCCAATAGATTGATTGACAGCAGGAGGAGCCTAGGATAGAGCCTCCTCTATCTCCTCCCCTGCAATCAGGAAGTTCGGGAAGGAGGATTGCTTCGGGGACCAGTGGCAGTAATGGGCGAATATGGGGGCGGCTGATGCGGAGGCACCCGTGTGTGTGCTTTCACAGCCGTGCCCATAGTAGCTGTGTGCGTCCATAGAGGTACACAGCCCTGCGGCAAGTCACGACCCTCCTCTCCGCCCAACAGGTTGATTGACAGCAGGAGGAACTTATGGCTCCTCTGCCCTCAATCTCTTTCCCCCTGCAACCAGGAAATTCGGGAAGGAGGATTGCTTCGGGGACCAGCAGAGGTGATAGGTCAGTAAGGGGGGCGGGGGACACAGAAAGGTACTGGGCATTTTTTAACTTAATGTAGAGAATGCATTAAGCTAAAAAATGCCTAGCCTACTACTTTAATTTGTGGTTGCCAGCATGCATTTGGATAAAAAAGCTATATGGAGAGCTGTTAGATTCATAAGTCCTTAGTGCAGACAGGTTCTGCAATATATGAGATCTGAGATGCCCTATATATGCCATTACATTGTTGCTTTTATGCACAAGACATGCGCTGTGATGTCACATGCGCTTCATTTACCACTTCCAACGTGTTCATGTAAATCTACGTCCTCTGCTGGAAGTGGTTCGGATCTCTCCTCCTATCACTGGACCCGGAAGTGATGTGCATTACTTCCAGTGTCACTGGGCACATTCTCTGGCTCCTAGAGCCAGGAGAAGCTGGTGAAGCAGATCTCTGCATCATCAGCTACTTTGGGGTGCCTAGGTGACATTAGGGGTGAAAGACCTCTGATGTCTCCATAAAGAGGACCTGTCATATTATATTTGCTATTACATAGGGGGCTTGTTAGCCCCCTATGCAATAGCAATAAAGTTGTGTAAAAAAATAAATTGTAAAAAATTAAAGTAACAAAAAAAATCAAATACAAAATGCAAAAAAAGAAATAATTTGAAAGTCCCCCGCCCCCCACATACAACGCAAACAAGCGTCGGATGGGCCTAAATGCAAAAACAAAAATTGTGCCACACATGTTATATATCGTTGCGAGAGTCAGAGTGAGAGCAATAATTCCAGGCCCATCAATCACCATTAACACTAAACTAATGAATGGGAAAAGTCTTTTTATTCTACCGGGCCTGCGCTTTCAGAAAATATATGGTTTGGGGGGTCTTTTACAAACGCTAGCAACGCAGCAGTTGAAAATCAAATCAATAGGAAAAAATTGCAGAAAATTCAAAAATAGCTTGGCCAGCTGATTTGAAAAATGTTCCGGAGGGCTTGGCAGCGAAAGGGTTAAAGCGTCGCCTATGGGAAATTTGGGTTATTGTAGTTTTATGCGGTTTCTCGGACGCACACAATTTTAAGGCTTGACATGTTTGGTATCTATTTACCCGGCGGGACCCCGTCTTTTATATTTTACCAAATAAATTGGGTATTATATTCTGTTTCTGTGCACTAAATTTCATTCTAGTGTATTTTATCCTAAAAATACTGGTTTGATAAACATTTGCACAAATACCATGCGACATAAAAAATTGCAACTAGCATCTGTATATTATACAGGGCCTCTGCTTTCAGAAAAGATATCATTATTTAGGGGTCTGAAGCTGTTTTCTAGCCCAAAATTCTGATTTTATCATGTGTGCAAATGTAAGAAATTTCTGCGAGCAGCAAGTGGTTAAAAAAGATATGTTGTGTTATTTTTACATTGCTGAGCATTGGACGCCAAGTTCATTTTATAGAAGACGCAACACAAACAAATAAACAGACCACTCCTATTTGTAGAGGGGAAATTTAATAAACTAATTATCTCATTTGCTTTTTTTATGATGTACAGTAGAATCCAACAAAAAGCGCGAGCCTTTTGAGTCTATTTTTCGAGAACCTCCACTAATTGGAAAGTGACTTAAAAGTTCATGTAACCATTCTGAGGGGAATACTTCACAATCATTGTAATAAATTTACAAAATATCATCAACATATACTGTCAATTTCTTTCAAATGTTAAAAATCTTATTATTATCGAGATCAATACTTTTTGAACAGCTTGAATAGATAAACCTCTGTTGAAATTATTTTTAATAAATAACCATGAGTTTGAACGTTAACAAAGTCTCAGTTTACGATGGCCTTTAGGTACTTGGTGGCTTTAGTGGAACTCAAAGTCCCAGCAAGCTTCAGGAACAACAACAACAAAAGATAAAATGTTTGGTCCTTGAATAAGTGGCATTTACAAGTGGTTCTTGTAAGACTTTTAGTCATTTTATGATGCACGCTTTACTCGGCCTAGTAATGGTTCCAAATCTGCAAAAAAAAGCATCCTAGGAATGTACACGAATTGTGGGACATGCCACAGGACAAAGTGACCAGCCACTGACTCTAGAGTCGTGCTGCTAAAGACATAACCTACACAGCAGCAATAAATACAAACACCAACAGGGCAAAGGTTTAACAAGATGGTCGTCTTCTTTTCCACCGTCAGGCCTGCTTGCTTGGCGTGTGCACGTGGTGAGTGGAGACCCGGGCTCGCCCATTCCACTCAGAAAGGATGCCATCTTGAAAGATTAAGTTCTTGGAAGGCAGTGGTACTCCAGCCTCTGTCAGGCCTGGTTGTCCATGCAGGCTCGATGTTCCAGTGTCCGAGGTATACTCCATGGCAGATCCGCTTTCCTATAAAAAGTGTACAACAGATTCAATTGAGATGTATGTGTCAATGGATGAGCCATCAAATCTGGGCACCAGGTCCAGGGATGGGACGGATTTACTCTGTCGGCTGCCCCAAGGCATGGTTCCTCAATGTGCCCCCCCCTCTCCACGGTGGCGGGAGGGACAGACCTGCAGGCTGCATACGAGTGATCTCGGTGACATGCCGAGATCACTTGCACAAAACGAGCAGCGGCTTCGCTGCTCTACATTTAGCCCTGCTTGCCCCCGGACGTCGGGATATAAGAATTCCACACCACTGCTGCCTCAAGGCCGGGCCTCGGTGGCCTTGTGGGAAGTCCGGCCCTGACCAGGTCCACTCATTCACCTGTCACTAACCATTTCTGATAACCTTTCCAGCAAAAGGTAAAGTTGGAGCGCACCTCCTGCTCTCCGAGGCTCCCCATTGGTCCTTGTATGCAAGGAACGGCCTCACAGACCAATAGGGAAGCGGACAGGCTTAACATTTTGAGGAAAAAAGAGGAGACCTGTGCCTCTCTTCCATTGCCAATATCTTTGGATCTACTGATCCCTTTGACTTGTGGTTTACACTGAAGGTAACCTTTACTTATACATTTTTCATCATAATGTCAGTGTGAATGGCCTAGGTGTGTGTGTGTGACAGGTCTGCTTTACGAATCTTAAAGCAGACCTGTCACACACCTAGGCGGTTCAGACTAGTTTGCTTGTGGTTTGCCTAAAGACGGAACTGCGTGGTTCAGAAATGTCGCTTGACAATGTGACACGATGAGAGGTCAATAAACATGGTAATTTTGGGAAGTCCTGTCTATATAAACATGTACTGATGCATGGCCACAAGGAAGAGTTTGTTTTGCAGGCTGAGCAAATAATGGCTTAAAATAGATAACCATTTTTTTTCTAGAGTACCAGTACTGCTGAATCCTGACCAGAGGGTTTGGCTCTTCTATGCTGTGCCGTATGCTGGTGTAGCTGCTGTTTTGTTTCACCGATATACAATTCTGAGCACTCCTCACTGCAGTGGACTGCATGCAGGTCAGATATACAATGCTGTTTAACCGCCTCTCTCTGGGCAGGTTAATAACATATCCTAGCTCCAATATACCTGGTTGCAACTAACAGATTACGTGGATTGGAACAGCATTCACCATATTTATTCCCAGAGAATTTTTTGTACAAGTCATTCTGAATTGAGAAAGCTGGTTGGATGACCAGTGAAACGTCTTCACGAAAAATACAGCAGGTCCAGTTGCCTTGACTTATTTTTTACAGATATGATAAATAGGTGAACAAAATGGGAGAATATACCTGCAGTGACTGCACAAAGCTGAGGACTTTCAAGGAGAGCTTTCGGCTGGAATGGAGGAGATGTTGAAGGCTGCAGAAACAGTGGGCAGAAGAAAAGGTTTTTTAAACCATATCAACCTTCATCTTTAACTGCGCACCAATAAAAATATGTCCATGTGCAGTTTAGGACAGGCTAGAAAACAGTGTAAATTATCATTACAAAAAAAAAGTGCCAGAACACACAGAGAGGTGGAGAAGAAGACATTCCCTACAGGCCAGGGACATCACAGTGACACAAAGCCAATGGGGGGCATTTTTCTGGAGCGCTTGCAATCAATCAGCATCTCTCTTCAGTTTGCTCAGGTAAGATTTGAAAATGAGACAGAGAAGCTGATTGGTTGCAGTGCAAATCTGCTCCAGATTTTGTCTACTCCAGTTTTAATAAATTCCCCCCAATGTGTCTACTTCAACTTCATCACACACCTTTCAAGATAGCCGCGCACACTAAAGCCGGATTTATACTATTAGTTTTTTTGTTCAGCCTGTGGACTGAAAGAAAAAAGTCTAACAGAATCTCCCGCTGTCAGAATACCCAAACAGCGACTGCTGCATAAAAAAGGTATGCATATCCTTTGGTCTATTGGCTAAAGGGTTAAATACACCTGTAGTGTTGGAGTTAGGGAAATGGAATCTGTTTGAAGCCACTTGTCAAGGAATTTTTTTTTTCAAGGGAAAGGAGTTGAAGAAATGTAAAGGCTGCTGGGAATAATGCCCCCGTTCCTCACTTGCATTCTTTTACAAAGTCAGAGATTTTATCAAGAGGTGATATAAATAAACATCAAAGGTCAGCAGCAATAGTCTGTATGTGTTCCACTATTACTGAACAGTAGACAGCAGAGGGGTCAGTTACCTGTCTTTCCCGCACAGGCCATGAGCAGCGATCTTCTTGCACACGGTTTGATTGAGTTCTGAGCTGAACAGAGGGATTCCGTAGCAAAGCTCTAATGGGACCCAGTCCGACTCCACAGCTGGTGCTGTAATAAAAGCAGTGTTAATTAATCAAAACTGTTTTAAAGAAAGAGGTCTGCAAACATTTGGGTGCATGCCACATGCTTTGTTGTTTTTCCTGAAAAGAAATATTCCCAATCTCTGCAGTGAAAAACTTTAAGCTAAGCTCCGAGCTGGCTCAAAAATGATATGGGGTGTCACCCTAAATATTGAAGATTTAATGCTAATTTTGCTACGGGGGTCTAGTAGAGAGTAATACTTATCTTAATTCTCAGTTTTCCTGCCTTGAAATGTGGACTCATCCTTGACACCATCATGTACAATGCAGGTACGCAGAAAGCTGCAACGTACCTGATGAAACCAGTAAGGGGGACAGGTACACGAAAAGTGGAGTGGCTGCAGGCGACGGCGGTTGTCACTACCGCAACTGATTGTTAGGAAGTCTGTGGGACCATGGAGCAAAGTAAATACTTGGTGTAACCACATTTTATTTTTTGGGCCAGACTAAACATAACTTTTAGGGGCAATTCACACCATAATGTTGCCCTAAAGACATGGTATCCATCCGTTCAGCGCACACTACTGCACAGCACAATGCACTGTATGCCAGGTGCGCTGATGCATTGTGTTGCTATTCATTCTGAATTGCACTCCAACACATCTCCAGGTGAGCATACATTGCACTGCAATTGCACATTACCACACTAGCCTGCATTGCATTGCTGTACATTGAAAAATGTAATGTGTGTACTACTTTTTGTTCACTGCATCGCAACACATTTCCGCTGGCAAGCTGATTGTGGTGGCAATCAGAATGAACAGCAGCGCAACAGTGCATGGTGAATTGCCTTGTGCGATAGTGGAACCTGAATACTACGGTGTGAATACGCCCTTAAGGTAAAACTATGGGCAAAATCAATTTCTTTGTCCTCCTGTAACATAGTTGTAGTACCTGTTAATTCTGACAGTAGATACATGATTTTTCCTTTAACAGGCCAAGCAGTTATAAGGTTTGGGGTAAACCACTGCTGGGGATGCTGACAATGGTTAGCCATTAGTCATAAGGTTTAATCCTTTCATTTGTTTGGCACCTACTTAAAGGAGAACTATGAGGCAAGTGTTTTTCGCTCATCCTCATAGTTAGAGCCAACCTGTGACAAAGAAGCTGTCACAGGTTGGCTCTATTGATCGGGAAGTGAGCAGAAACATGCCACCGATCCACTCAGTTCCCGATTGTCTCCCTGCAGTGAGCTGTCAGTCACCGCTCCCCACAGGGATCCCCCCCCCCCCTCTGATCCACCAGTGCTGAGTGGAGGAACGAAAGGGGAGGGGGCGGGCACAACTGGCTCTGCCTTTAGATAGGCAGAGTCAGCTGTCACTCACGCAGCTGGGTGGATCTCGACAGTATTGTCGGGATCTGTCCCAGCTGTGGCGCTGTCAGTATATTGCGGGCTATTACTGAGCATTGGGTCATGGGAGGAGGTTATATGTCCTCCCGTGACCCTAAAGAGAACTATGAGGAAAAACACTTACCCCATAGTTCCCCCTTAAATTCAATCTAAAACTACCCTGTCCACAGAGTGACAATGCTGCAGTGACTTCACTGCAGAAAGAACAGCGTTATCTCCCTTTCTATAGGCTGGGTATTCAGGAACCACGTTGAAGGGGTGTCAGAGGTCCAATTTGCCTGATTTGGGTAGTTTTACAGTCACACACTACTTACATCACATGCAGGACTCAAACATGAAGAGTATTTTGGTCTACTTATACTTACTTTCATTCAATAAACTATTACCAATTTCCTGCATGTGGAGGGGATATGGTAATAGATGACAGAATGCTGGAGTTGAGATCCAGTCACATTGAATTGAGGTGATGCTCCCACACCTTCCCTCTTTCTTCTATACATGTTCATATTTACCTTCATTGACCTTCTGTCCCATGTCTACGGCCACTTCTTCCACAACAAGCTCAAATGATTCTGTGCTGCCATTAACATCAGTTTACATAGTAACATAGTATTTGAGGTTGAATAAAGACACGGGTCCATCAAGTTCAACCTATTGTGTGTATGTATGTGATTCTGCATGTGTATGAGTGCCTGTGTGATCTTGTTTTTAAGGGTACCTGTACCCCTGAATGTTACGGTCCCAATGAGTCTTTGGGAATTAGTTCAGTGCTGGGTTCACATATGTGTTATGTCGAACATTAACATCCATTTCGGTTAAGCAGTCCAATCATTTTGAAAGTGCTGCCAGTGCACCAAATGGCAAAGGGTTGTACCGTGTTAGCCATGAGTACTAGTACAAAAGAAAAAATGTAGGCGGAATATATTTTTAGGTGCAAGCTTTCAAAGATGCTCCATTTCTTTCTTTAGAATGAAGGTTAAGTGTTTTTAAAAGCCTGCACTTCAAAATATGCAAATGCACGCTTCAGTGGGGTTTTATGTTCTTGTCAGGTGCATTTTAGTATGTGTGCACAAAAAGAAAACAAAAATGGCTCCGGCAGTAAAAGGGTTTAATGTGAACAATGCTTAGTAGAATTCTTTCAGTTTTTCTTACGGTAATCATACACCTGTCAATTTTTTTCGTTCAACCTGCGGGCTGAACGAAAGAAATTGACGCGATTCCTCCATCAACACAAGTAGTGTGTCGGTCGAGTAATCGCCGCCGTTTACATTGTATTCCGACAGTGGCTGCTGGCACCTGTAAGAATACCCGATCAGAGTGAGCAGCTCATTGGCTGCCGGCTCTGATCTTACGATGATTTTGCAGCCGGCTCCTTCGATCAGCCGATCGAGGAATGACAGCTGAAAGGCGAATTTTGGCCGGTACATTAAAAACCAGGCGGAATTTGGCCAGTGTATGGACACCTTTAGGCCTCATTCACACACAACGCAAGCAAAATTGTATATTGCGTATATACGAGCGTATATGCGTGCACTATATGCAATCCCAGAATGCATCACTCGTAATGGAATTTTTAATATGCTGTATGCATGTATATACACATATATGCGCGTAAATACGCTGCCCAGACGCATCTCTGTTCCATTCTGTTTTTGCGCATATATATGCTACGCAAATATACGGCTCCATACGTGGCTATGTGTATGGAGCCATTTATTTGCCTATGTTGCATATGGTACAATACGCACGGCAGTGTGAATGAGGCCTTAGAGCAGCGGTCTTCATTATAGGGCTGCGCCCCCGGTACCAGGCCTTCCTCTGGTCAGACCCTGGTTTCCAGTCCTGCACTTCTGTCGGCACCTGGAGTGAAGCTGCGGGGGTCCTCCTGACCAGGTGTGGCTGCCCTGGGTGCCTGACAGTCCCAGAAAAGAAGCACACAGAAGGCTCCAGCTTCCCTATTAGTACAGAGTAGCAGGAGCCAGATGGAGGTAACCATGAGGCTAACTGAGTGCAGATCTCTGTCTTTATGGAGGTGCTGCCGACGCTGAGCCTGTGACACGGCAGAGGAGCCCCAGCTACAAGCAGGAGTCCTGTCTGACAGTTGGAGGCAGGGAAAGGATGATCTTCAGTTCATCAGCACAGAGCTACCCCAAAAATACACAGAAGCCTCATGATCCACGAGGTCCAGCTTAGGATTAGGGTTACTGTGTACATCTGTGGGCGCATCCAATCTACTGCTGGGATGTTGTGTGTGTGTAGCTCTGGGGGTTAGCCAGCTTTGGTAATGCACTCACTTTCACGTTCTCCCCCTGAGCTCATATTATCTTTTGTCTTCAACCGGAAAACTTTTCTGTGCTACCACAGTGATTGCTGTTCCATTGATTCCCAATTTAAAAAATAGCTTGTTGCACGTTTTCATTGGTTTGCATTCGAGTTCATATGCCGACACCGGGCAAAAATGTCTACTCCAGGAAATTTACATTACATTAACAAAAAGTTGAAATGAAAGAAGAACTCCGGGTATAATAAAACGTAACCCTCACACTTGGGCTACAACCCCTCGCCCCTGCAAGGGTTAAGTGCTTGATTTAGCTAACCTTGGTCACGCCTGACTCTTAGACCAGTTCCTGCAGCCTCTCTCCCCCTCCGCTCCAGCGGTCTAAGGATCCATGAGTCATCACGTCTAATACAGTATATCAGACATGAGGATGCTGAGGAGCATTCTGTCGCTGGAGCGAAGGGAGGCTGCAGGGACCACTCTAGCAGCAAGGCGGGTCAGAGGTTCGGGTGAGTATATCTTTCTTATTTTGGATTTCACTCTTTATTTTGGCGAAATGTTAAACAAGAACACGGATCGGTTGCTACAGGATACAACTGCAATTGTGTGCCATTTTTCTTTTGTTATGAAAATGTTACGGATTTAAAGTGTATATATAGCCCAAAGTTTATTTCTTTTTTTATGGATAGAGTAGTGATAGTTTAGAAATCGGGTCAGAAACAAGTCAATCGCAATATATCTCAATCGCAGTCATGTTGGGGGTATGAAAGGTTCTGGAAGAATTTACTAAGCCCCTAGGGTTGAGAACCACTGTCCTAGAGAGCTTCTTAAAAACCCAGCGGATCACCTTTGACATCAGAAGCATTGCTCAGTCTCCTCTGGCGGACGTGTTGGCTTCTGGGGTTCAGCATGGTAATGAAGCCACAGAAGTGCTCCAGGTCTATCCTCTCCCTCAAGACTTTTAAGGCTTTATGGACTCCCATATTGAGGCTGGAAAAGTCTGAGAGCAAAGAAGAAATGGTTTCCATTAACCTCAAAACACATTCACAGATGACATTTAAAAATGAGTTTCTGGAAGAAGGAAAAAAATCTGACAAATCAAAACCTGAGTTATCTTAAGACACCTAGACAATGACTAAGGCTGGGTTCACACCTAGACGTATTGAATATGCGCGTTTGTCGCGCGGTTTTACAGCGATTCGCGGTAAAAAAAACAGCGCGACAAACGCGCGTTTCCGTGGGCTACTTGGCTGTATACCAATGGAAACGCGAGACCAAAACGCCCCAAAGAAGTACATGTACTTCTTTGGGCGTAGGCCGTTTTGTATCGCGTTCGGACGGGCGGAAATATGGCAAGGTGTGAACCATTGAATACAATGGGATTTAGATGTTTGAGCGTTTTGTAGAGCGTTCGTCAAGCGTTGAACGCGCTACAAAACGTTCAGGTGTGAACAAGGTCTTAAGCTGAACTCCGGGCACCGGGTTTTTAGTATATTCCACCTGTTATGGATACACTGCATAGCTAAGGTGAGATCTTTTCTTTTTAATGAATTAGTGTACAAACATTGCTAATATTACCCTTTGTGGGTACAGCTTCTTCTGTACTTCCCATCACCAGTTGACATCAGCAAGGCAGCTACAGGTGACACCAGCGCTCATGTTGTCTCAGCCCCCTGTATATGCATTCACAAATCAAAGCCTGTGAATGGGAAATCGCACACGGGGTCGGAGACACCGGCACTAGCGCTGCTGTCAATTGTAGCTGCCCTACTGGTGTTAGCTGGGAGGACAGAAGCAACCATACAGAAAAATGCCATCCATACAAAAAGCACATACAGCAGTGAGAATGCCTTGCACAAAAGTGCTTACTTATAAGGATGAGGTGGGGCAGAAGTACAGTGGAATCTGTTCCAACAAAATATATAAGCTGATCTGATGGGTTGCGATCTGACCACATTTCACCCTAAAAAGGGGTGTAAGATGAAATCTGGTCACAAAAGGTAAACGTACAGGGTTATACACAAAGGGGTGAAGAGTTTGGAGATGGCAGGAGAAGCGAACAATCTAGGACAACATAGCTCGAAAGTGAGCTGAATTGGAGAACATTTGCAGTTCAGTTATGTTGTCCTAGATTGTTCACTTCTCCTGCCTTCTCCAAACCCTTCACCCTTTAGTGAACAACCCTGTTAGCCTTTAAGGAGTGTGGGCTAATGTCAACTAAGCACCCAGATCTTCTACTTCACAGTAAACAGAGCACGATGCCACTCATTTGAGATTTTGTAAAGCTTTTTCCGGCTTCGTAGCTCTCAGTGTATGGGAAACAAAGATTATCACGTCTGCTTGATTCCTAATGAGGACTCCACAAAAGCCATGCATAAAATAAGTGGCATTTACTAAAAAGTGTACATACAGCCAAAACCTATTATTTTTAAATTTTAGAAAGAGAGGTGAAGGGTTAGATCCGTGTCAAGTTTTTATTGCCATTTGTGTCCCCACTGGGGAGAGTCACCCTCTCCATTTGTTCTGGTGACCGTTGTCAGGAATGAAAGTGAGGGAAAATCCAAATATCTGAATTATAACAGAACAGGAATAGAGGAGGACTCTTCCAATAGGGACACTTGATCTGGGGAACACCAAGAGGGGATTTTCCTCACTTTGGAGAGGTTTGCTCTCGCTTCCTGTTGTCTCTATAGGACAGGATGTGAAGACAAATCTCCCTGATGCGATACAGATGGCTAAAAATAAAAACTGACAAGGGGTTTTAGCCATTCTCTACTGTATCCAAAACAAAAAAAAATGTTTTGGCTTTACATATACTTTAAGGTTCCGAGAGGTTTGAGGTTCTTGTAAAAATAATCACCTCCTTGCAGTTCTGCTTCATCAAACGGGAAAGGTACATGTGTAGTCTCTCCCATCCCATGCATGCCATGACCCTGCGAAGAAAGAAATGAAACACTGTGAGCACCTCCTTTATAAAACTTAGTAAAAGTGTAAACCAGGGGTGTCAAACTCAATTTCTTCATGGGCCACACCAGCATTATGGTTGCCCTCAAAGGGACGTTTATCTGTAAGACTATATAAAAATGTATCTAGTCTTTATCATATTAACTAATTGTTTCTGCATTCGATTATTACTGGTTTTAGTAACAGCTTAATAACTAGCTCTGAAAGTAGAAGTCTAGGAAAAAATAATGGCAATTAGTGTAATAGTGCGGACTCTCAGGTAGCTGTGCAGGTTCTATGGTGGGCTGTGCGGGTTCTCAGGTGGCTGTGCAGGTTCTATGGTGGGCTGTGCGGGTTCTCAGGTGCCTGTGCGGGCTCTCGAGTGGCTGTGCAGTTTCTCTGGTGGGCTGTGCAGGTTCTCAGGAGGCTGTGCAGGTTCTATGGTGGGCTGTGCGAGTTCTCAGGTAGCTGTATCAGTTCTATGATGGGCTGTGCAGACTTTCAGGTGGGCTCTGCGGACTCTCAGGTGGCTGTGCAGGGTCTATGCTTGGCTAAAAGTTGATCTACCCCAAATTGAAGGAAAGACAAAATTTGCAATATAGACATAAGCACGTGGGTAAAACTGCAAGGACTCACGCCAAGGAAAATAAACCTTCCGCACGCAGTGATAAATCCTACGAGTAGAAGATCTACGAGCCCGAATCACAGTTGGAATGACAGAATCTTGAATGCTTGTGTCTTTCAACACTTAGGTTTCAGCAGCTGGGCATTTAAAGCCAGGGATCGAGAAGCAGGGTGGAAGATTGGGCCCTGAGATAACAAATCTGGCCAATCTGGAAGAAGCCAGCAATCGTCTACCAACAGATGAACCAAATCAGCCCGTGCAACGGGTGCTTCGTACAGCGTCCAACAGAAGTCAATGGCTGTACACAGCTGTATGCAGGTATAATCAGGTACATGCGTACAGCTGCATATCCATACAGACGAAGATCTGCGTCCAGGGATTTATGTCTGTACACATACACTGCTGTGTGCAAGTACCGACGTATACCTGTGAACAGCCACTGAATTAGATTGGAGGCTGTACGCAACATCCGTGGCTCACTGGGGTGGGGGGGATTCACCAGGTATTTACATTGCATGGGCTTAACCAGTTGTGTGTATGTAGTCTTGATCCATAACTGCTGAAACAAAATTTCGGGCACACAGTGTTTAGTGTTTTCAGTCAGTGTAACTTGACAGGTAGACACGCACTGTGAGTAAGAAGCAATAAGATTCTACTAAGCAGAAAATGCAGCATTCAGAAATATTCCAAAAAATGTAAAAGATAAAAAAAAGTACTATTATTAGTAAGGTTGGAAAGCAGTTAAACCTGTAACAGATGCAGAATATAAGCAAACATTTCCCCAAAAACGAAATCGGACTTACCTGAATAAGAACTGCAGAATGCGTCAATGCATCGTTCAGCATAACTAGTACATTTGATGTTGGAACGACTCCTGGATCGTGACCCCATGATGTAATCAATAAGCGGTCATAGGCCTAACAAGAGAACATGGGATCAGTGTGACCAATTAAGCAGAGCTGACAATGTTTTAATATGGTAAGACAGTCCAATTAAAGCTGAACTCCAGGCCTATTAGTCCAAGTGTGGGGGTTAACATTTTACATGCCTGGAGTTATTCTTTAACCTAACTTTCGAGGTCAACCCAACACTATCCTAATCAGTAGTATATGCCCTACCCCAAATCTGCTGCATATCCATATCATCCTGCCCTTGGTGGCTCTGTGGTGAAAGCCAGCAGTCCTGTGCTGAAATCATGCAGTGCCAAGATCCAAGGGCGATAAACTAAAGTTCAGCATTCATTTATGGTGACAAATGAAGGTTCCACAGTATATCATGTGACCGTAAAACTTGTACTGGGAAAATACAGTACATTGTGCTTACTAGGAAAGCATCAGGCAGTTTCCGGAGTCTGGTTCCCTTTGACAGCAAGAGAGAGGGTGGTCCATATCCTGAAATGTGGTATAGGTAGAGTTTGAACCATATGGAACTCACTTCTGGGATGGCCGGACCGATGTGCTGCATATAAAAAAGAAATAACACTTTAACTTGGAATAAATGCAAATAAACCATAATTATACCCATCAGATGACAGCTGTAATGTAATATATGTAA